CGTTAATTTACAAATACAAAATATCCATATTCTATAAAAAATTACGAACACAAAGAGAAAGCGCAGTTAATATTTAAATATGTTGGAAAATTATTTTGCTGAGTATGAATAGAAAATAAAAAGAGCAATTAAAGTACTACACAAAAACAATCCACAACTAATCCTGGCAAATCATCCTTAACAGTTTGCTGGGGGTAATTTGAAAGTAATTGGCGTTCGCGATTTCACCCCTTATAATGGCTAGAATAAGTGATATTTTCCCTTGACCGTGATTAACAAACGTGTGTACTCACCACGTCGCGCACTTCAAATGTAATATCCCGCTGACAAACTCTGACAAGGCAATATCAACAGCTTAACTACTGATGTTTTGGTCCAGTGTTGTTTACTATCATTTCAGGTACTGTTTTCTAGTCAAAAGTTATGTGGATTAATCAACTAAATGTAAGCTTTTAATGTTTGTTCTAACTCCAATAATAACAGGAAGTAACAAATTACTCCCCTAACATGTGTTTACCTTATCGTGTTAGTGGGTTCATTAGTATCTGGCAACCTAGCCGGGCGTGAAGCCAAGAAATGCACTGGGACTCGGCCCACCTCGATAAGCAGTGTGCCATGCGGGCTACTCTTGGTACTTCTCTGATAACAGAATGGACTGTTGCGGAAACCCCATGATGGTATGCGTAAATGCATTTCACAACTTAAAAAAAGTGGAGGTAACAAATCAAAATGAAGCTAATTATTGCATTTGCTTGCAAGTCATCTATTCTAACACCAGATTAGGAAGACCTCAAGCTTGTAAAAATATATGGTAAAAAACTCAGCAGGACTATTTATTATATATACATATTATTATTTTCTTTCGCCAGTTTGGTTATAACCACCCAGAGACACCATACAGAGACACACTTTTTTCATTCATGGGTTTGAGTCCGTATCTTCTCTCGTAGCAACCAGCTACGCACATACCTCTACGCTACGACTGTCGTAGCACAAGTAGTATGAATGAATTAAACAATATAATTTATTTCTATTTACATAGCGTTTCTTTAATAAATATTATCTCCTATTTGAAGGTATCAACGTATATATAAGAAATCAAAAAAAACCACCAAAGCCAATTAAAGCACTATAGAATGCCTTTCTAGCTAAGCCATAATGTCAGAGAGTGTGAATTGGAAATTCGCATCGTGAGAATGTTTATATTGGCATCACAAACGTCTGGAAGAACAAGTAGCAAATTGCCTTTGGCATTCACTTGCTAAGACGCTTATCTCATCTTGCATAAAACAAAACATGTTGATAAATTGATCGCAATATCGTTTAAATTGTTAGAAATCGCAAGTGAAACTGAAAGTAAGCATATCATATTATATATGTACATACAAATATTTGATGCCTGTTGTTCATTATTATAGTATTTTTAGTGTAATCTAATTTTGGTCTTATTTAACTCTCCTTTGTGTACAATGTGCAATCTTAATTAATACTGTAACGCTGTTTGATTACCAAATAAATAAATAAATAAAAAAAAATAACTTTAAAGTTTTATGGCATATTTATTATATAATATGATACAAAGAGGAAGTTGAAAAAAATTGTCGGGTTTCGATATCTCTATCGTATATTATGTATATTTTACAATGTAAATATTATGAACTTTTATAGTATTTGTTAACTGACTTCCCAAAAAAAGGAGGAGGTTCACAATTCGTCGAAATCTTTTTTTTTATGTATGTTCACCGATTACTCGAAGACGCCTCGACCGATTTGGAATTTTTTTTTGTTTCAAAGGATATATACTTAGCAGGTGGTAATATAAATATTATCGAACTCGGTCTAACAGTTTTTTAAAAAATCAACAATAAATATATTTTTTAAATCAATTGTTTTATCGCATATGTTATTAAAAAACTTTCTTATTACAAATCACCTGATTATTACGTCTAAAAATGGAAAAATAAAAACTTTCTAAAATATCTGATTAGGTATCTATTCTAAATGAAAACCTCCGTTTAGTTATTTTTTACATTTTAGTGCCCGGAAGTTGGTTTTTATTTATTTTTTTAAAGTTTTTATGATTATTAAAGTCTATATAAGTATATATATAAAATTTAAATTTATAAGGCAACAAGGTAGGTGGTGGGATATTTTATATACTAGTTTTTTCTGTGGCTCCGTTTATATAGGGTATTTCAAATGTCACTTAAATCCATTAAGCCGTTACGGTGTGAAGGAGTAACGAACACTCACTCAGTCTCAAATTTTCGCATTTATAATATCAGTACGATAATATTACAACATAATTATAAATTCTATTATATAGCGAAAGTTTGTATTTGTTTGTACATTTGTTACTCTTTTATCCTAAAATGGCTTGAAACTTAGTCTCACAGATAGATTTTGACTTGAACTATCACATTATACTATAAGACGCTTAGCGATGCACTCGTATGAAGCGGCGGTGATCACTAGTATATAAAACTATATATAATAGTATATGAAACTAGAAAATTTTATGCACAAAAGCTTTTCATTTTCTTTACAAGTTCATTCAAAAAATTTATATATATTTTAAATAAAACTATCTTTTCGGATTTTGTCGCGGATTTATTTGTATTTTTGTTTCCCGACGTTTCGAATGCTTTACAGCATCCATGGTCACGGGAGAGACTGAGGTGTTACATGTCTTAAAGATATAGTTGTTACAGACAGCCTACCCACAATTAACAAAATGAAAATTGCACCAATTACATTACAATATTTTAACTTTAAATATTTTTATAATTTTAATTATAATTGAATATGGAAAATTATTTATTTAATTTTTGCTATTATTTTTATAATTATTACAATTTTAAAAATATATTAATTAGCAATCTATATTTAGTGTTGCCATTATTATATTTATAACCATAAGAAAAATATAAAATATAGTATTAATTATTTAAGCCACAATTGATCTATGTGTAATTTGAAAAAGTTAAGATTAATTAAAAAATAATAATTTTAATTTAAATTTGCTATTATTTAAAAACAAATTATTAAGCAACACATTACTACATACATTTACAAATGAAAAAGTGAAAAAATATTATTAATCAGAAATGCTATCTTTTTGATCTACACAGTAAGAACTTACTACATCTACCTGTCTGTTATGTTTAGATTTATTATTAGATTTTATTATATTAATAACAGGATCCCATGACGATGGTAGTACCCAGCCATCTTCCCTATTGAAATTAGGATGTTTTTTAATTTCTATGGCCTCTCGAATCATTCTAGGGCGATATCGGTTTTCTTTCGCCAGGATTTGAGGCCTATCGAAGCGAATATAATGGCTTGGGCGGTCCTGACTGTGTTTGCAGACAGCAGATGTTGTATTGCGACGGTGCTTCACATCAGCTATGTGTTCTTTGACCCGGGTTCTAATGGATCTCTTTGTTTGTCCGATGTAAGAGAGCCCACAATCACAATCAAGCTTGTAAACTCCTGCATCTTGTAGAGGGATGTGGCACTTGACAGGTGGTAGAAACTGACTAATTTTCTTTGGCGGCTTGAAGTAAGTTTTAATTGAAGCTCGCTTTAGAATGTAGCCAATCTTGTCAGTGACGCCTCTCATGTAAGGTAGGACTGCAGGGACGCGCTCGACTGTGGCTGGTTTCACTCGGTCCCTGTGACGTAGGCGCGGCACTTGCTGCTTGTTGTCTCGCAGAACTTGCTTGACATGTTGCAGTTCTCCGGCCAGGTGTTGCTCGTCACAGATCCCGCGTGCCCTCTGAAACAAAGATTTTCCCACGGTAGCTAACTGTGAAGGGGGGTGGTGAGATTCACCATTCAAGTACCTATCAGTATGGCTTCACATTATTAAAGCAAAATTATAGCGTTCAAACGAATAAATTGAAACGGCTTGAAATGATTAAATTCTAAATCTGAGTACTTGTGATAAGTGAATTAATTTAAACGATCTTCACTGTGGTTTAGGGTCAGAGGACATTTTTAGGCTTTCCAGTTGTACTTATATATCCTTTCCAAGACTGATATTCGAACCTTTGTTAGCTGATGTGACATGCGGTGACGTCGGTTATTTAATGAATTTTAATAAAATTACTTTTTACATATTGTGAATATGTGGCCTTAATTAAATACTATATAAGCTTATTTACGTTTTTAAAAGGTTTGATTAATTGTTTTTCAAAGGCTGAAAGTTTTATATTACAGTGGGGTATAAAATGAAAGTTTTGTAAAAAGTTCAGTGGTAGGGGTTTTATTAAGGATTTATTTACTTAATATGTTTACATGATTTTATAGTGTTTTAGTTATTTTAACCAAAAAAAAATAAATGTAATATACTATTTTCAAAACAAATAAAGGAAACAACTCAAAAAAGCTTTTCGTTCAGAAACGTTAAAATAAAAACTATCCTTATTAAGATCATCTGGAACAATCTGAAATTCTTTAACAAGAAAATTGAATTGATAAATGCGAGGCTTGAAATCAGGTACGTGTAAGTTAAGATTAGGTCGATTGTGAGATTCTATAGTAACCCATTACTAAATATCTAGGAAATAACAACAAAAGCATGAAATAAAAAAAATAAAAGAACAAATTATAAATAATTTAAATTAAAAACAAATTCGAGACGAAAACGAGACTCTTAATTAGATAATTCTTAAACACAACAAGTTTCAGAATATTATCAAAACTTGTTATCACAACAGCGAACCATAAGTTGCCTATCAACAATATTTAAATTATTATTTACTTTTTACTTTTCATTGCAATTTAGTTTACGCGACCCAAGCTGTTGAATGTAGCGTACAATTACGGAGAATTTTAGCACGTGCTCCTTACGTGACAGTGCAGAATGAAACTAATGGTTTTTATATGGAATATATCTAATATTTGACTGAAACGAGTTGTATAATATGTTATTGTTATAATTAGTGAACGAAATCTTTCATTTATCCACAATTAAATGTAATTATTATAGGTTAGTGTCTTTGTTCAGCGAGTGGAGACGGCCTTATCGACTGGGCGGCGCCGGCCGCGCGCGTTCGGCCGAACTCGGCGTCGCGACGCTCGCCCTCTCTCGGCAGCTTTCGGCGGCACTCGGAACTTACCACTGTAAATTTAAGGGCTGCCTTACCGCTTTTCCAACTAACTCGCACTAGCTTTTATAAAATTATATGCGCCAATAAAATATTAATATCATAGACGAATTTTTAAATCTTATTTAATGTTACTGGAATAAAATAAAGGGGATGTAAAAGAAAATATTTAAAACGTTTAACTCGATACGTGAGAACAGAGCGTGTCAAAGTCAAAGCGGTCGTTGTGGCACAGTGAAAAGTAAAATTACGTGCAATTGTCGTCTCGCAAAAAGACAGTAGCAATTTCCCTTAGCCGACAACCCTTTGCGAGGCTCCGGACACATGGCGGTAGGGTGGCGCGGGGGTGCGGCGCGGGGCACGCGCGCCCGGGCCGCCCCTCCTCAGTGGCGGCCTGCAGTGCCGAACGCGCGTGTCGTCCGACGCTCGCGCCCCGCGCACCTAATCCGCTCATTTAGCTAGCGACGCCGCACACGGCGGCCAGCGGCCCGGCCGACGCACCAGCCGGGCCGGCCCGACCTGATCACCCGCATGTGACTGCCAAAATGATCATACCCATTGTTTACGTTAACGCTAGTTGATACGGGAGGCCGACGCTGGCATGCTAATGTGAGTATCCGAATCGATAGCGATTCCGAATATAAAATTGTAAAATGACGAGACGTAGCGATGATACCGTACACGTTGCGTACGATAGCTCCTGCAATGCGACAAGGTAGAACGCGTGCCGTAGTTTTCATACATAATTGAGGTCCGGCGCGCGTTCCGTAGACTGTCTGGTTCTGTCGGTGATGTGTGGAATTGTCAACAGTCGGACTGTTTGGCGTGGCGTTACGTGGATTGCGAGGCGGCCGGTGAGCTCGCGGGGGGTACGCGCGCGGGCTGTGGACGCGCGGGCTGGCTTGGCGCCATGCGGTAGCGCGGTGCCTCGGCCGAGCGGCGGGCGGGCACTCGTGCGCTCTCGGCTATGTGCCCCCTTTGCGCTACATTGTAAGTATTTTATCTATGTCACTTATTATCAATGAAATTTTCAATAAAGAGTTAAAATGCATAATAACATTTTATTTAAAACATTTATGTATGTAATTAATTAACCAAACAATTCAAAATACATATAAGTTATAAATGTGTATCAGAAATACATTTTTAATAATTTTTTTTAGTATATAAAATATAAATAAAGCCTATGTTTGAATACGCTGAAATAACGATGCGTAAATGTATCTAAAATTGATGATTTAACGAAAGAAGTAGAAAAGTTAAATGTTTGTGTTATAAATTCAACAAAAAAGCTTTAACAGTCCGGAAGTAAGCAAATAACTTGTATCGAAGGAAGAACATTTTGGGAAAGTTTGTCTTTGACTTATAACATAGATTATGAAAAAGTTACTAATTTATTTCTATTAAGCTTCTTGTGCACACTTAAAGTTGTTATATTCATTTTTTAATACAACATATTTCATCTTTAACATTATCACATATCACATATCTTACTACTTAATGTATGACGAATATAATTTACCTTACACAAGACTCAAACCCACTACAAGGGAGAGTATATACAACCACTGTGGCATACGATCGTCTGTAATACTTTTAAATGGAAAATACCCCAGTACAACGCCCTACAAATTATGCAAGGCTCATTAATTACGCTCTTGTAAATTCACTACAATATTTTCCTTAAAGCTCTTCACGGTATTATTCTGAAGTAATATAACTGCAATCGAACCGAGTTTAAAGTGAACCGGAAAGAAAAGATATGGATAGTTATTATTTATTAAAATATTTAGCGTTTTGTTTAAAATAAAATATTTATATATTGTGTTTTCTTTTATTTTTAAAATGTATGTACGTTTATGTTGTTTTAAGCTGTTTTTATTTGTTCTAAATGACGTATAAAACGTCGAAACTCAAGAACAATATATGGCAATATTAAAAACAAAATTTTATTGCTTGATAAATTTAATTGTGTATATTAAAATGTAAATGAAAAATGGTACAGAATTATTATACAATTCAAACAGAAACCGTTGTCAGTCCATCAGTTATACTCTTAATAGAACAATTACTTAAATGAATAATAGAATTTATAAGCCAACTTTTCAATTTCGTTTTAATTAACTATGTTGAAAGTAAATTGAAAACTTTATTATATTATTCTAACGTATTTTTAGTAAATGATAAATCTATTAAATAGCCATTAAGATATTATAGCTTAAAAGAGGTTACAATAATACGTTGTTAATAATAAAAATATACATCTATACATATAATAGATAGTAACATAGCGAAATCGATGTGCGCGTTTCACGCAAAAAGTACTGAACCAATATCAACTAAATTTTTTTTAGTGATAACTTATTACTCGGGTCAACATTTAGGATAACTTTTACTACAGGAAAATCTTTCATTGCCACGGAAAAACACAATAACTGGTTCTATCTAGTCGTTATTAGAAATGTACATGTCTAACGCTGGCTAAACCTTAAGAGATAAATCAAAACAATGTACTAAAAATTGTAGGACGGAAGTCACTAGTATGTATGTATATAAGAGTAGAATGACAGAATCTATTTTGAAATCGTGTAGAGGTACTAGAATAATCATCCGTTTCCTTATTAATTTACATAAGATTAATATTTACATGGAAGTTTAGCAAAACACTAAACTTTGATGTTTATACATACTGATAAAATAAGCTTCATAAAAGTCCTTAAAAGCCGCAGTAAAATTCTATAAACAACTAAAATTACATGCAAGCAAACGGTATATTTCATTATTACCATATAATAAATATAACTTAATATAAAATGGTAATAAGTGGTAGAAACTACCCTTACCACTGAATTTTACTCTTTGACTATATTTTATTATTGGGCTAAAATTATAAATGGAAGTTTTGTATGTGTGTCTGTTACTTTTTTAAGTTCAAAGGTCTCAATTGGTATCAAATTTAGTACATAAGCTATGACCTGATGTAACATATAGGCTACTATCAGTCGAGGGTAAGTCTTAGTTACTTAATATTTTTTATTATAATCACATTGCGATTGACGGTTGTTTCTATATTTACAGTTTTAAAGATAGTCCATAAATAAAAAGAAACATCAATACACTTCTTGTATCGAAAACCTTATTATTTCTTGCTTGTTCTGATAATACCTAACATATTTATTATTATAGATTAGCTACTCATTTAACCTTAACTTTATAAATGAGAAAGCTTGGATGATTGTTACTCAATCACGCCAGAACGGCTGAACGGATCTCGATGAAATTTGGCACAGAGATTAATCTGGAAATTGGTCTGGAATAGTACATAGGCTACTTTTATGTAGGAAAACTGTACGGTTCCTGTGGGATAGATTTGTTTTTGTTTATCTAGAGTCGAAACCGAGCGAAATGAGGATGAGATAGTGAAGAATAGATATAATTAAAATTCTCTTTTCAATAACATCCATATCCATATTTAATATTATAAATGTGGAAGTGTGTTTGTTTGTTTGTCTTTCTTTCACGTTGAAACGGCTTGGCGGATTGGCGAGATTTTTTGTGTGGAGGTAGTTAGAGGGCTGGAGAGTAACATAGGCTACTTTTTACCGCAGGACATTATCTCTTTCCTACCGGAAAACACGTTATAATACAATCCAAAATTATATATATGATCAGAATTACTTGAAACTTGGTGTAAATGCTCTTCAATACAATTAATTAAATACGTGTTTCAGCATTTTTCAAAACTCATCTCATAAGAAGGTAAAATAGCGGATGAAAGTTTGCATGAAGCCTAATGTTTTAGAGTATTTTTTGTAGTTTTAGCTCGTGCAAAGCCGCGGGTTCTGCTAGTATGATAATATATCAAAAAATTAAACTGAAACGATGTTCGTTGAAGCGCATCACTTGAGAACGGCTTGACTGATTTGGGTAATTTCTGTTTAAAATGTTCGTAGTATTTCGAATAATGTTTAAGCAAAAAATAATCGATAAGTGGCTCGGAAAATTAGGAAATTCGAGAAAATGATTTTTGTATTAACTCAAATATCGCTAAATCGTTAAAATTTGGACAACGAAACATCTAACGGGTTTTATTTAACTAGTTTAAAATAAATTAATAAAATGCGTTATTTTTTTATATAAATTAGAAGCTTGATTAGTGTGTTTTATCCTTGCCTATTATCTCTACAATACTTTATTTTTACTACGCATCTAAGTATTTTTGTCAGTGTTTTTATAGTAATTTTATGTTGTGTATGTATTGTGGATTGTGAACTCGACCAATTAAAATGAATGTTAGCTACGTTTTTAATTCAGCCTGTTAACTGTACAATAAAAATGCCCCATTGAGATCCTGCCTTCTATAGCCTGTTTCAGGTTATGCGCAACTTGTTCAAGGCAATAATTATTTTTTTATTAAAAAAAGTACATTCACGTCAAAATTGCTCTCTTAATTGCTTTTCTTTTAAAGTATATATCTGTCTATATTTTTTATTATCTATAATAACTATTCGTTATAACTCTTAAACTAAAAATTAAAAATACCGACACAGTAACCTATTCATTGAGGCCCTTACAATGAACGTAAATATGATATCTCAGTATAATTTTAGTAAAGACTTGGGTATCTTGCAGATTCCAGTGTTGCTGCAGCATCAGACCTTATTCATATATCATTGCAATGTCTTTGAAGTAATGGGATACCAAGTTTTGAACCAATTAGGAGGAAGTTTTACATATTCTCATACCATCTAGAAAATAGATAATAGCCTGTAAACGGGTGAACAGATTTTTCTTTATTTATAGCTAAGAAGATTTTCGAACAAGCCACCTTTCAAACAAAAAAAAAACTATGTTTTTCATCCGTTTGGGCGCTAGGATGCCGAAGACAGATACACAGACACACACGTTAAACTCATAACTCCCCTTCTTTTTTAAAAACGAAAATCGTTATCCCCACGTATACAAAAACCATTCCTACATAAAAATTTTCCAAATAATCTGAATAATATTTACTATACATTTTCACTGCATTAGTTTGTCATTTATATAGATACATTAGATTATAGAAATATTAATTTTTTATCCTAATAATATTCAAAAATGTTAATTTTTGAGCGAAATTGTCTTTTCCACTACACACTTTACTATTTTCTACACCTAAAAATTGCCTGGAAGAAATCACTGTTTAAGCGATAATCCCGTCTGTATTGTTATTTTGTCTTCTTTATATTGTGTTTACAATAAAGATATTTTATTATTATTACTTATAAGTAATATTAGAATATGTTTCCAAATTTAAACTGAAGTGTGTTGATTCGCTGCATCAGCCATGAAGTAAAAAATATATTAACAATTTTTTGCATTTATTACATACTAACTGACTCGACATACATCGATCTGACTAAATTACAAATGAGTTCAAACAAAAATATGGATATTCAAAGCAATTTTAATTTTTTTCCAAACTTCCCAATTTTTCTGGGCATTTTCCTTTAAAACAATATACAGACTACTATGAACATTTTTCAAGCGATGCGCTTAGAAATCTTGCTAAGTTCTCTCAGACATACAGGTTTCAAAGTATATATATATATATATATATATATATATATATATATATATATATATATACATTTATACATTTATACATTTAAAAAATTAAATGTATGTAAAATTATAGCAAAATAATTTTAAGGTTAGACGTCTTGTATGGACCCTTCGCCACTGATAGATAGTAAAATGATTCGAAAAATGTTTTAGACGTCAAAAGAAATGATTAAATGAGAATATCTACTTATGAAGGAACAAACTAAATTTTGAATTTATATAGAAGACTCTTCAATTCAATTGTAAAACAAAGATGAACGTTACAAAAGCGAGTAGGACTGCTTTTCGAACCACTTCTATACCAATACTATGATTACCCGCAGTTTCGCCCGCATAGAATCCACGTATTCAATAGAAAATTAAACACAGCTTTACTGTATAGAACAAGCAATTTGATAATATGAAATCTATATAA